TTTACTATTGCTGTTTTATGGAATATGAATTCAGGATCCATCTATGTCCGGCATGCTTGAGAATTTGACCAATCCAGTTCACAAAGACCAGCTTGAAGAACGAATGTCACGCATCAAGGAGGATCCTTCTTTGAAGCCTATTTTGGATGAGATAGAGACAGGAGGTCCAGCTGCAATGATGAGGTCTTATACTTGGTCTTTATGACTTTTGCCATCATCCGTGGAATCTTATATTCAATAAATATCGTGTAATTATTTTATGTAATGCCAAGACTAGAAATGTTGTTGATTTGGCTCTTTTTACCCTTTTTTTGAAAGCCTATTCATCTGACTAAGAGATCCATATACGAAATAGTGTGTAAACCTTTCTTGAAAGCTTGTTGCTATATTAACAACAACAGGGCTTAAGGGCATAAGGACTATTTCTGAGCAGTAATGTCTGAAAACTACAGTTTGGCATTTTGCTTTCCATTTACTGGCTTGGAGCTCTTTTGCATCGTGGGGTCACTGCATTTCTTGGCATTTAAAGTACTGAATTTGTTCCTGTTGTACAGGTATTGGAATGATAAGGAGGTTCTACAGAAGTTGGGTGAAGCAATGGGTTTTGCTGTTGCTGGAGAACCAGGTTCCTCTGCTGACAATGCAGAGCCAGATGAAGCAGAGGAAGCAAATGAAGATGAATCTATTGTTCATCATACTGCTAGTATTGGTGATGTAGACGTAAGACAAAGTTTATTTTTATTTTCTTAGTGAAGAAACTACTGGATATTTTAGGAACTCGTCAATTTTTGTCTCTATCTTTGTGACTAGATCTCTCAATGCTCATTTTGATCTTAATCTTTGAGGTGCAGAAGCTCGTAATTCTACTATTTTTAACATGTTTTTATTTGATATAAGTAATTTATAAAACTATAATTAGTTTTCTTTATGAAATTTCTAGCGTTTGAAGAACGCACTTGCTGCGGGTGCTGATAAAGATGAAGAAGATTCAGAAGGAAGAACAGCATTGCATTTTGCTTGTGGTTATGGAGAGGTAAAAGTTTTAAAAAGATCCAAGTGGTAATTCTGTAACTTCTCTATTGTTGCATGTCACCAGCATACTCTGCTGACTGGATGTGTTTGTTTGAGCTTTAGATAACTCTTGTGAGCAGAATATTTAGCTGAATCTGCAGTCTAGATATAAGAACTAATTCTATGTGCTGTATGGTGTATGGATGCTTGCTCATAAATCACTATTGGTTGTAGCCTAGTCTATGGGTGTACTTGTTTTGAAAATATACAATCTTGTAACGGAAGTTTATAGGAACTTATTGTATTGAAGGTCATGGTGGGAAGAAGGGGAAATGGATATTAACTGGGTATCTTTGGAATTTGGAATCACATAATGATCACACCAAAAGCACACCTCTTGCTTTACATGGTTAGATGCTACGTAATGTGTATTCAGTTTCGTCCTGAAGATTTTGTCTCTTCTTGGTGAGCTCCATGGTCATTTATCATTTTGTTTCAGGTACCCATTGTGGTGTGATTGTGTCGTTGTCCTAGTTCGCCTTTAGTTGTGCTGAATAACTAAAGTTTATGACTTACTATTCTGATTTATTTCTGTGAAGTAGATATGCGGTTGTTATAGTCAAAATGATTTGTTTATGTCGGTTTTTTTGACATTCTTCAAGATTGTATTGCTTCCCTGTTTTGGCTACAAAATGTAAAGCCAAAATCTCTCTCACAAATGGATTTTCTTCCTTTCATGAACTCTTCAAATTTCTTTTAGTTCAAGAGTTTGTTTATTAATATTATGTGTTTAACGATTTCATCATCTTTATGTTTCTTAGGGCATCCTTCTGATATAATTCTTTACCTTCTTAACGTGTCTCTTGATGCAAGTCCTGTTAGACTCATGAAGAAACTTTAAATTTTTTTTGTTTAACTGTGCAGGTGAAGTGTGCACAAGTTCTTCTCGAGGCTGGTGCAAAGGTGGATGCTTTGGATAAGAATAAGAACACTGCTCTTCATTATGCAGCAGGTTATGGCAGGAAAGAGTGTGTTCAACTCCTGCTGGAGCATGGAGCTGCTGTGTAAGCATAGTCCATCTAGTTTACAATCTGCTGCTGCTTTTAATTTCTGTCAAGCTAGCTTAATCCCAATTCTTTCATTTCACAGCACTCTCCAAAACTTGGATGGAAAGACTCCCATTGATGTTGCTAAACTGAATAACCAGCATGAGGTACTTAAGCTGCTCGAGAAGGATGCTTTTCTATAAACTTGGAATATAGACGTGAGGTACTTGAGCTTTTCCGTCTATCAGGGTGTGATTGTGTTAGCCCTATGTATTTTGAGAGGCTGTCGTCCCGACTTCATGTAATTTTTCCATTTGCTTCTGTATGATCATTATTTTTACCGTTTCCTCCACATATTACGCACATAATTGATAGTATCTGGGGTACTTAATATCTTGTCCGCTTCCTTTTATGTGGTCGGCAAATAGCACCTGAGCCGTTGGGTGTGATATCTGGAAAAATGCTGAAAATAGGCTGCTCCTGTGCAGTGTATTGTGAATTTTAGGCATGTGGTCATCAAAGGCTTTGCTTGTACTACTATTTTTCTCCTGCATCCAAATGGGGATGGCGAGAAAATGCAATAATATCACGTATCATAGCTTAATTTAACTTCGATTTCTGCATTGGCAAGACGCGGAATTTCTGCTTTGCCTCTTTGCCCTGCACAGGCTGCATTTCTACAGTCCTAAAACAATACCCAAAAGGAAAGGCAAATGATAAAATGATAAAAGTGTGGAGGAGGATGCATTTCTGCAATCTGAACGATACGCGAAAGGAAAGGCATATGTGATACAATAGCACGAGTATGAATGGGGATTTGAATGTTCCCAATCCTTGAAATGAACTTTCAACTACATTCTAAATAAAATATCCACTTGCTACTATTTATGATTTACTTTTCCACCGAAAGCCAATGGCGTAAAAGTGGGTCATATATTATGTTTTGTAACAGATGACTATTTATTGCAATTTTCTCATAAAAAACGATTATGATTAAAAAGAGGTAATTATATGCCCTGCATCATAGTGAGAGCTCGGCATGTGCATAGCCCATAAATTCATTTTTGACAGAGCACCTAGGAGCTAGGGCTCCCTTTTTTTTTTTTTTTTTTTTTTTTAGGAATTAAATAGGTGACTTGGGCACTTTGAACGGGTTGAAATTGGTAATAGATATAAGTGAATCAACCTATTTATATTTATTTAATTAGATGGATATAAATTGATAAGTCAAAAAATGAGTTGGATAACCCAATTATTCATTTATAACTCATTTATTTTACTTTTTTGTAAATTGATTTAAATTCATTTTTGCAAACTAAATTATCAATTTATACCACTCTTTGCGCACATCATTCGTTTTAAATATTTGCTTATAATGCTCAATAATCCTAATTACCAATTTTTTTCCATCCGTGCCCTATGTCGCAAAATTACATATTATTTAATAATTGAACAATAAGAATATAAAAATTTGAACTAAGTAATATGAAAGTTAACATAAAAACTTAATCCAAAAACTTTGAACTTCTAGCATTTTTTTCCATGTGTAAATTTAAAATTTTATTTTGGAAAGGTAGGAAAGAAGGTTAAAACTTGTGATAAATTGGTAATGTTGAAAAATGAGCAAGTTAACAAACTATGAGAATATAAAATGATAAGATAAAACCAATAAATAATAATAATAATGAAACAAAAGTAATTAATATCATGCCAAAATGAAGAATCTGAAAAAAAAAAGTAGGATATCTATCTGTGTCAAAAATGCATCAAATATTTGTTAATGTTGAAAAATAAAACAATTCATTGTATACAAGGTTTCAACAATGTTAATGCATAAAAGTCTCCAACAATGAGTTCAATAATCAAACGCAGGCCTCAAATTTCTTTTAAATAGGTGGGGGAAGAGAGAAGGCTTGGTGAGAACAATTTTAAATGGGTTAATTGGGTTTGGTGGATTATTCAATCCATTTATATCCATATACAAAAATTTAAAATACCAATATCCAACTATTCACGGGCTGGTATGGGTAAATTTAGTTAAATGGATTTGTTTGTCATATATAATTAGAGTAAATCTTATATACACTGACAGTGTATACACTGTCCCCGTTGGATTCATGACATGTGTGTAAAGAATTTCAAATTCAAATTTTGCTTAGTTGTTGGAAAGATTAATCCATATAATTATAGCTATACCCTTTTTAAAGTGGAAGATTTTGAGCCAAAAATTTCTTACTTATAATCATTTCTTTCTTACCATCCAACCCAAACCCTTCCCCATTATACCTATAGCTTAAGTGCCAATGTGACCATTTTTCTTAATAAATCAAACTATTTTTTTTGTAGAAAAATAAAATTACATCATGTAACTACAATAAAAAATCAATATTAATAGATTACAACTCGATAAAAACTAATATGAAAGGAAGTTTAACTCAAAACTCGTAAGTCCTGAACCAGAGCCTCTACCTCTTAATAATTTAACTTCAGTTAATTCACCACCAAATTAAAGTCTTATCGATAGTATTAGTTCACCTGCTTATAAGCATGCTTATTTGAACTGCGCATATAATGGGAAAAAATGATTTGATTTTCCTTTTAATCTTACCAGAGGCACAAGCGATTGTATTGAAGTAATATCTTAGGCCTTTATTAGATCCTTAAAAAAAAAGGATTAATCTTTCCTACATTAACAGTGTATACGTTATTAGTATTGGATTAATGACAACTATATAAAATTTGACTTTAAAATTTAACTTTTGCACGCATATCATGAATTCAACGATGATAGTGTATACACTGCAAGTTATTTACAAAAAAAAAAAAATCATTTGTCCTCTTCTTTGTTTAAGTTTCACTGGACACCCGGGGTTAGGACGATTGGTCGAACCAATCGAGTGAAAAACCGGTCTTTCGTCTGTATGCTCCGTACTTCTTCGGTATAAATGTTTTTATCAGCCTCCCTTTGTTTACTCCTGCCCTCCTCTCAAACCAAATTCTCATACAACTAAAATATCAATCTCCGGTATAATTTTCGTTATTATCGTCATATTCTATTCCGACCTCAAAAGCTTTTCGCAGGAAATACGACAAATTACTTATCTGCAATTCGTCTCTCAATTTCTAGGGTTTGTATACTTATGTTATACTCTCACAGATCCATTAAATTACTAATTTTCCAACTTAAACTTGTCACAATTACTAACTCGTCCGTTTCCCCTAAAGAAAATATCCAGATCAATAACTATACTAGATGTGACCATAATTTAAATTTGTTGTTTAACATTTTTTTGGGTGTTTTTGGATAGGTGATAGTTGCGTTATGGCAGGTAATTGATTAATTAATTAATCAATTATTGAGGTTGAAGGAGGAGATGGGGAGAGAGAGGGATTTATCGAGGTCACCTTCGTATCGGCGGAGGTATTCGCCGTCGCCGTCGCCCGTGGGGCATAGGTATAGCCGGAGGAGTGGTCGGAGGGATAGAAGCCGATCACCTTACTCTCACAGCAGGTGATACCCGATTGCTCGGACTCTGTGTGTGTGTGTGTCTGTGCATTTATTACTCACAGATGTTTAAGACTCACCTTTTTTTATGTCTCTGTTGAATCAATTACAGTTTATTCAGGCTTGTGATGTTCGTGTCTTGATCCGTTAAAGTATTGATTGCTTGTCTGCGCCTTTTTCGTGTCGAAGATATATTTTGCAGCTTCAGAATTAGGACTTTTTGGTGTACTGTGGTATAAAAATTTTGTCAAATTGGAGATATTGGGTTGATTATCTTGTCATTATATTTAAACAAAACCCAAATCAAATTGCAGTTGAAGTGGATATTTCCCCTCCTTGTGAATATGTAACTTTCAATTACATAGTTCTCTTCATTACACTCATATAAAGGCTCGAATGGAGAATGTTTAGGTTGATTTGTCGCAATGATGCAAGTTGCAACCATTACTTCCTGAAAGCTTCATTTTTGAAGGACTGCAAAGATATTTGGGTAGTGTAGATTTGATCTGTATTCTCCACACTTGCTGAACATGAGATTGTGAGAGCAAGGGACCATTCTTTTGAAGGATCATTCTTTTCGATTTGTTAAACTTCTGTTATGTCTGAGAAGCACATTGGTGGATGAACCACTAGTCTTCTGTAGTAATTCATGTTATATTCCTTCAGCAAATGGTCATATATCTGCAACAACTCACCAGCAGACTCTTATATTACGTCAAGATCTGTGATTTCTGCTATTGCTTCGTGCTGCGATGCTGCATATGAGAATTGTCAACCATCTGTCCGCAATTTGATACTCTATGTGCTTGTAGTTGATGGCTGTCATACTTCTTCAACTCTTGCTCCTTCATCTTGAGTATATAAGTTGCTCGATTAGTGTGAAAGGTAGTTATTGGACTACACCTGTTGTACACTCTCCTTTCTTTCTCTTTTAGAGATTAAAAGATCTGACTTGGGGGAGTTTGGGAAAAGTCTATTAAAACATGAGTCACACACTACTTGTCTTCTTGGCGTGAAAATTTAAATTTAAAAAAGAAACCATGGCTTCCCTTTGATATGGGAAGTTAGCAGGTGATGGGTGGCGATGGGTGTCCTCCTGTTGCTTGTTTGTGACATTAGCAGTATCTTATGGTAAAAGATGGAGCAGTCAGTTTAATATCAATTAATGAGGTAACTGTACATGTTTAATTTTTATTCCATACTATGGCGAGTTTGTATGATGCAATATTGTATAATAAGTGGCACTTAATATCTTAGTTTGATGTTCAAGTATTCTATTTTGTTACACAGAAGAAGACAAAGTCGTTCGATGTCCTCTCGACAACGGAAAAGTCGTTCCCCTACCCCAAGACGACGTAAAAGTCCCTCTCCAACACCAAGGCGACACAAAAGACAAAGAACTAGAAGTATCTCACTCAGTGCATCTCCCGGTGTTAGTGTTGGTATAAAGGAGCAGAAAGATATTAGTGAAAAATTAAGAAAAGAGGAAGAAGAAAAGAAAAGGTATAACTGTTCTTTATATCCATTCATGTTTTTTTTTTTTCATTTTTTCCCAGTCTGTACATGGGAGCATTTAGTTATTTCTAATGGGGGTTTGTTGTTAAAAAAGCATTTTATTGAATCATTTCTTCATCCATAAGTTGTGAATATATGTTTCTGCATGCTGTAAGTTCTTTGGAAGTTTAGCCTTTCTTCTTGTAGTTTTGAATATGTGTCTTGTTAAGATGACTCTGTCATGGAGTTAGATCCTCATTAAGTGTGTATGTACTTCTTGTATCCTGTGATGACTGCATGTTGTTCAAATGTGTGAAACTGTCTCACCTTTCCTTAATTTTCGTGGCTCTGTGTCTAATATTCGAGCATACAATTGGTAAGGTGTAAACTCTTTGATTCAAGACTTATATTAATGGTTTCCCTGAAGGGAAAAGAATAAGATGGGGGAATCAATGGATATCCTAAGTGTCTAACGATACTCATTAATCATCAAACCACCATCTCAGAATGGTGTTTGAGTGTGTTGTTAGGTGGGAACACACACACACACATGTATTTTCTTTTTTGACTTTGCTTCTTTTGCTTCATTTTGATTGAAAGATTTGGTCATGTGGATGCTGAAGTTGCATGAAATTATATGCCATCCAAAACAAAGGGGAATACCTGTACTTTACTCTTTAAAGTATGTTGTGACTCGGTTACGAGTTAACTTCAGATGTTGCTTGGTTCAAATAATGGGATGGAAATCAAATAATGTGAGGAGATGTATTCAGTTTAGGCAAAATAACACAAGATGTTTACACATACTGCAATGGATAAGAGTATAGGTCTTTTTTACATGACCGGTGACACCCTGAATTTCTGTCAGCTTCTTGGTACACCTACCCTTGAACTCTTTCCAAGCTTGAATTTTTTTTAAAAAAATATATTGGACCTTTTGGTCTGTATATATTCGAACTTACTGTTGTACCGGAACCTCCACAAGATATGTCAATAACCTCCATGGCCCATAATCCACACAAATCCCCTCAAACCACAAGCACAAGTCAGATCTTCATGAATTTTTTTTTCTTTATCAGTCAATTCAGGGTGAGGGGCAGGAGAGCTGAGGAGACTGGGAGCTGCATGGTCTTATCTGTTATTTTCCTTTTCCTATTCTAAATATACCCAGGAACCAAGTGAGAGTATGGATTGAAAACCACCAAACTTTCGGAAATGGCTAACTTCATAGATGGTAGGTTTGATTTCATTGAGTGGGCGTTTACTCAATACAAATTTGGAATCACTTCATGTCGATTCCTTAACTCTGTGCAAACCAAGAAATAGAAACCCAATAGAGAACAAACAATACCATTTCACCAAGTGTCAATTATCAAATTTAAGGTTCAGGTTCAGTTCTTGCAGCTAATTTGTGACACAGTACATACGACTGCAGCAAACTGGCAAAATGACATTTTTCTCTTTTCTTATTTTTGTTCACATTCCAAATATTCGATGCCAAGCAGTAGTCTCTCATTTGTCTTGATCATTAATTGTATTTAGAAAGTCAGCTAACATTTGTCTTGAGATATTTCTCCAATTACTCAAGATACACAAATTTTATTACAGTCCATACCAACTTGGCAAGCCTAGTAGTTGGTCTTTGACCAATGAATTAGCACTGACTGGACAAATAAAGAACCCCCAATCTTATTTGGATTGTATTTAATGTGGAATTAGGGGGGCTCCACAATCTTATTTAGTGCATTTTCATTGGTCAAAGATCAGCTACTAGGCTCACCAAGGAGTTGGTCTGGACTGTGATAAAATTTCTCCAACATACACTGTTGGTGCTGTCTGCTACTACTTGTCTAAGAGGAAGAAACGTGACTGCTTTACCTTTCGCTTCTGCTATCTAGCTCAAGCAGATTCATCCTGAATACTTCTGTGGTTAGTGGTCATTTTTCAGATGATTAAATTATAAATTGCAGCAGCCATGCATATATAACTATCAAATGTTAAATGATATTAATTACTTTCATGATTAGAATATCTTTCTGCTGGAAAGGGCTTCTTTTCCCTTCTATTCAAGCATCTGGCCTGCACATTTATTAGTTTGATCTCAATACCTTTGATTGATTTTTGCTTTCTCTTCTTGCATAATTTGTTCCTTGCATCTAAGTTTAGCAACTGTTGCTGTGCTATTAGGCCTGCTACTTCCCCGTTTCCTCTTGGTGTGTGACATTTGATGACTCGTATATTTGAGCTTTAGTTGAACAGAGGTTGTAATTGCTAGTGTTTTCATTTTGTGGAGCTTTAGTTGTATATTTATTCTTGTTCATACGTACCTGTATTCGTTGTCTTAATTTGTCGTGCATCCTACAGGGTTGCTCGATCTTCTCTAATTTATCTGATTTCTGAGCATTTGACATCTGCTGACTAGCCATATTCTGATCTATGCTCATTTCCCTGTATTAAAATTATCAAGGTTTTACTCTTTTGAATGTTGTGACAATAGTAGAAAATGGATAGCGGATGGGGATTTATTTGATTATCATGAGCAGAACGTGGACAGAAACCTAGTTTTACTTTATTGTGGCTTAGTTGGGGGCTTTCTGGATTTTGTCCTGGAATCTGTTCTTTTCAGACAAGATTGGTTCCCTCCTTTCTCACTTCAATTGTTTGTGTCTGTGCTTGTGCACGTGTGAAGCTAAAATCTAATAGGCTGCCAGGTCTTTTGTCTTTGCCTTAGTGTGCTCAAGTGTATGTCCAAGATCATCATTATATATTCTAACAACTTTTGAGTTTGCTTTTTAATATGAGGGCTGAGATATTATGGTGATTTTGAAATTGCCACAGTTTACTTGACATTCTTCTTCACAGGGTAATTTGAAGGAAGTTTCTGCTGTAATTGTTTATTTTGATGCAAATTGGCTGCCTGCTTTATCTACTGTTCGCCAGTTTTGAAACTCATTGTTTGGATCAGGAATCAGTTAGAGGTATGCTTTTAAAGCATAAGCATATATATTTAGTGCCTTTCTCGACAAGGAGGTTAGTCTGTCATTCATTTTAGTTGTAAACTAAGGAGAAAGAAAAGGTGGTGATTTTCTAAATTAATGTTGTTTGATATTTCTGCTGTTAACCAGAAAATTAAAAGTAACTGGAAAGGAAGCTTGTAGTTCTTTGCAGATAAGGCCCTTTCTATTTATTATGATTAATAAAGGAAAATTTTATGTCTTGCTCCGGCACACAGGCATCTCCCCACTTAACTTCACTTTTGTTTTCTTACAGGCGTCAACAGGAGGCAGAACTGAAGCTAGTAGAAGAAGAAACTGCAAAGAGGGTAGAAGAAGCAATTCAAAAGCAAGTGAAAGAAAGCTTGGACTCTGAGGAGATTAGGGTTGAAATTCAGAGGCGACGGGAGGAAGGTCGGAAGAAACTAGTTGAGGAAGTTGCTGTTCAACTTGAAAAGGAGAAGGAAGCAGCTCTTATTGCAGCTAGACAAAAAGAGGTAAGAAACTTCTAGATTCCTTCCATCTCCAGGGGTTTTTTTACCATCTTAAAGAGTATGTTGACGATGTTGCGTCAATGCCTTTCTATCTCCATGGTTTCTGTCTACAAGGTTATATGTATATGAACTTGCTGCTGTTTGATCTAGTTTAGAGTCTAAATTTACGTACATATGTGTGTAGGAACAAGGCCGCAAAGAGAAAGAAGAGCTGGAAAGAATGCTGGAAGAGAACAGAAGAAAGGTGGAAGAAGCGCAGAGGAGGGGAGCTTTAGAGCAGGAGCGAAGAGAAGAGGAAAGGTATCGCAAACTGGAAGAGCTTCAAAGACAGAAAGAAGAGGCCATGCGAAGGAAAAAACAGCAAGAGGAGGAAGAACGAGCGAAGCAGATTAAAGTGCTTGGCAAGAACAATTCGAGGCCAAAGCTGTCCTTTGCCTTGGGTTTGAAATGATACGGAGTTGTCGTCTTCTTTAGGTTGGAAGGTCTTGTAGAAATTTTGTTATTCGATTTTCTTGACAACTTTTTGCATTTAGCAGCTACAAGTGGAAGCTTGCATTGTAATAGGAAATCTCATGATGGTACAGGGTTTGTTGTCTTATTAATCTGTTCATTTAGTTTGTTGTCAATGCGGCTCTCTTTTCATTCATCATTAATGTGTGCTTCATACTGTGCCATACCATATAAAGTTAAATTTCTGCAAAACATCCCAATAAGATTTTCCCCTTTTTCCAGCTTGGAAGTTGGGAAGAAAACAGAAAAGAGAAATGAAAAAGAAGGGAGTATTTTTGAATCCATTTTGTTCTTGAACTTTTCTGTTTTTCGGGTAATTCATGGAAAATGTCATCAATCAATGAAACGTGTCATGTACCTCTCTGCAAGAGCTGTAGAGTCGCTCTGCTTCTTTTCCAGTCTCAAGAAAACCACACACGCATGAAGAAGGTTAATTGCTACTTTCTGACTGTTTATTGCAAACGTCCAAGGGAAAATCTGACTCAGCCAGTAGTGACTCCACCTCAATTCCAAGACAAGCCAACCTCGGCATTCGCACCCATTTGAACAACCCATGTCTATTAGCGACCGGTTAGTCTTGAGATTATTACGTAGTACTACTTTGGAGGGCCTGGGTAACGAAAAGCTGCATATATACAGGAAGGTGAGTTCAAAAAAGGCCCAGCATCGTTTGTTACCCACGGCCACGGGACAAGTAAAACTTTTGACCATTTTCTTGGGTGAGTAGACAAATAAACCTCCGCGTTTGCAATCAAAGGTTTTTCTCCACCATGAATTTTCGGGCTCGCAGTTCACCTCCTTTCCACCTATAAATAAATATTATGCCAGCAACTTACAATAATGAATCCACAGGCCCTCGTTCTCGTTGTCGGAGCTTCACTTAAATGGAATGTACGTTCCCTTAGTTGCAGACCTGAGGGCAGAGGTTAAGGCCTTTCATCCTCCAATGTGCACTATGCCTCTCTATTTTTATTCTTTCTGTATTATTTATCATTGTCATTTTTTAAAATCTTTACTCCTGAATCTATTCTAGGTTGGCGGCTCCTGCCATTTACATTTAAAAAGTGAAAATGAGCGTAAAATGTATTTGGTTCCCAATGGTTTGATTGGCTTCTATAAAGAAGACCACTCCCACTCATTCTTTCTCGTGGACAAGAGACGATCCAATCTCCACAGAGTTCATGGACGAAACTAATCATGTTCTGTAAAAGCCGGGCTTGGGCTGGTTGACGGATAAGGGCTCGTTTTGCCAGCCTCACATATGATTATATGAGAAAAGCAATGTCGAATGTACGGTTTTGTGTGGTCATTGAGTGTGTCGCATGGTCCACGGATGATTTTATATATAATGAGTTTGTTTGGATTGCCATTTTTTGTCCCCAAAAAAAAAATTGTTTGTTACATCATAAACGAGTTTTCTAAGTCATTTTTTAAAATTTTTCTTCAATCATCTGTCCACATTTCTAACTAACATACATTATAATGTTAAGGGTATAAATTAACGAAACTACTTGACTTGAACTTGCGAGTAGTTCTATCAAAAGTTTGACTCAAACTCGACATTGATCGAGTTTGAGTTGTGTTTGAATTACTTGATAGGGCAATCGAATTGAGTTCGAGTAGAAAATCTCAAAATGTGAGTGCTTGTCGAGTCTTATCGAGTAGTACGATTATAATATAATTTTTAATTATTTATTGTGAAATTAAAGAAGATACCAAAAAAAAAAGCTTGAGAGGCTCTAGTAATTTTGCTAAAAGGACTAGTATCAAAACAACAAAGAGATTTGAGTTGACTATAAAAGGTATGCACTAAATGAGCCATGGGGAGTTGCAGCCTCAAAGATTTTATTTTTGCTGATTTTTTAGTGTGGAAGGATATTCGTACCTTTTGCTATATTTGATGCGTGTGTAGCTCTTCAAATCAATGAAATGATTTTTTGTTATTTATAAAAACAAAGGTCAAAATATGTCATCATAACACTCAACCATTTATGTTTTTATCCCCAAAAAAAAAAAAAGAGAACTCATACATAGACTATAAAAGGAAACCAAACTCTGCACTTAGTCGGTGGTCAATTATGATTTTGCCGCTTCCATATCAACGAAAACACAGGAAGAACCCCACCCACCCCCAAAAAAAAAAAAAAAACTTGTGAGGGAGTTTTTGATTTTGAGATACTGGTTGAACCAAAACTTGTGAATCTAGAGTGTGGTTCAATTCATGAAGCTGAACAAAGAACTACCCATGTCACAGTTGAAGGTGTTATAATATGTTTTTGCTTCTTATAAAAATTATCTGCCATGTCGCCATCTACCAAGTAGGAGCCTAAATGGCAACATGTCTGCAGTATTATTCCATTTAAGATCAATGTCAAATTTCAGTTCCTCTAATTAAGGTTGAGATCTGTAATTAATTTAATTCCACAAAATCAAGTTTTGGTAAACTGAACTTTCGTTATTCATTAGATCAAATGCTTAAGGTTGGACACTCAAGACTGAAAATTGAGGGTGATTGCACTTAGGTACTCCTCAATTTATTGTATCGAAAGATTGCTTTGCCACCCCAAAAAAGAACAGCGTCTGTATGTGTTTGGATTGCGCTACGTTTTTTCGTGAACATATTTTTCAATTACTTTTTTATCTCACATATATCAAATCGCTACAATAATTTTTCTACAAAAAATCCATAAAAATGCAATCCAAAATACAATCACCTTTTTTTTTTTCCTCCTTCCCCCCCTCCTAATTCCTCCCTACACCCAAAATTGGCAACCAGATTCAAACCCTATTATGCCAAACAAGACATCAAATCCCCAACCAACAGTCCAGCAACTGTTGGTCAAATAGGAATGGAAAGGGCGGGTGGGAATAATTAAGTAAATCCAATCTATGAAGACAAAATCTATACATTAACCAGTTGCTATGTCACATAAGAAATATCGAATACCTTAACAGGAAACAGAATTCAGAATTATGCACTGCATGCAAATTATATCTCAAGAGGATTAGTGCCCTACAAATATAAATACATACACGAGCAATTTACAAAAATGGTGACCGACATTTGTTCCTCGTCTTGATATAAGGGAGGTTTCAATTTTAACCGTCTAAATTTTCCTTCTGAATTTCCCCACTTCTGCTGAAAGAAAGGAAGAAAGAAAGAAAGAAATTGAATAAGGATGGATGGAGGGATCAATATTTTGAAATGCAGTGAGCTGTCACGGTCATGTCTGACTGTGTACTGGCTTATCATTAACACATAATTGCTTCCGCAGGGGGGTGGGGTGCGGTGGCGTAGGTGGGAGAGGGACCCACAGCAGTAGTAGCAGGCTCAGACGGCAGATGATGTCACGTTGTCAACGTTGTTCCGGTCCACTCCGTCTAAAAACACTGGGACCCATAGATCTCTGAAAAGAAGCTGGGTTGTTCATGTGGGTCCGATCCGAATTCAATTCGTCTACGTGGCAATCCATCCCTAGGCGCAAGGGAAGTTGGTTATTTTGACTGCCTTTTACCGCTGCAAGATTTCGTGGTTTTAAAGCTAAACCCAGGACCTTCGTATTTACAGTTTACACGCTTTCTCTATGTTAACGTCAACAGCGGCTTGGAGGAATGTTTCACATGCGATGCGGCGCGTCAATAAATTGACACAGGAGTACCCTGCTACCTTGTTTCGCGGGCTGTCCTGCTCGGGTTCCCGGACCCTCCGTTTACGCTGACAACTCAACCAATTGGATAATGGTTCATAACTCCATGTTTCCATTTTCAAAGGAAAAAAAAAGGGACAATTTCACAAACCTCCCCTGAGGTTTCTGACACTTGCACTGAGACCCCTCCAGGTTTTAAAAATTTCACCTAGCTCCCTTTCTTTTCAAATTTGGTAACAATTCAGTCCAATTAGGATTACAATATTACTATCATGATAGAGATGATATTTATATTCCATGAATATCCTCTTCCTCCCTATATTAGTACAAGATTGCTTGTTAATAAAAAGGTAGAGATGATTATGGGTATTTTATTCTGAATCATTTAATTTATGTTAAATACATAAATATTTGCAAATAAAATTCAAAAGCCGTTACATAAATATTTTTACGAAAGGAAAACTAGCATGTTTTGTATTTAATATAAATGAAATATTTGAAAGTAAAAAAAAATGTCCATAACATACCAGTTTTTTACTAGTTTTTTCCATTATATGAATAAAGTGCTAGCTATTTATGAGTATTTTACTTTGAATCATTTAATTTATATTAAATACATAAATATTTATAAGTGAAATTCAAAAAGTGTTACACTAATATTATTACGAAAGGGAAACTAGTAGGTTTTGTATTTAATATAAATTAAATACGTGAAAATAAAAAAATAAATTACCCACTTTTTACCAGCTCTTTATGGGTTTCTTCTATTATATGAATAAAATACTAGCTATTTATAGGCATTTTACTTTGAATCATACTCCCTCCGTCCCACTTTGATAGTCATGTTTTCCTTTTTCGTTTGTCCCAAATTGTAGTCCACTTTCCAATTGAAGAATGTAGTTGTATTTTAATTTTCCTAAAATGCCTTTATTCAATGTAAGTTGTTGTTACTATAAACCTACCCCATTTAATGAGAGTTGATTCTTTTTTTACCATCAATTCAAGTTCTTATAAAGTTTTACTCTATTTAATGTGAGGGTATTTTAGAAAAATAGCAATTTAAATTTACTTTTTCAACAAAGTTAACTACTTTTTCTTAAATTGTATGAAAAAAGAAACAGGACTATCAAAGTGGAACGGAGGGAGTATAATTTATGTTAAATATATAAATATTTGTAAGTAAAATTTAAAAAGTAATATACTAATATTTTTATGAAAGGAAAACTAGTAGGTTTTGTATTTAACATAAATTAAATATGTAAAAGTAAAAAAAAAAAAAGAAATTGCCCATAACATATCAGCTCTTTATGGGTTTCCTCTATTATACGAACAAAGTAATAACTATTTATGAGCAAAAAGAAATATCCCATAAAGTACCAACTCTTTATGGCCTTTGTCTATTATATGAACCAAGTATCAGATTTTTATGGGCATTTTATTATGAATCATTTAATTTATGTTAAATACATAAATATTTGCAAATAAAATT